ACACACACACACACACACACACACACACACACACACACACACACACACACACACACACACACACCCACACAAACAGAACCGTCATGTACCTAATTTTTGAAGGAACAGTCCTGGCTAACTTTGCCCTGTGTGTGAAAAGATAAGGTCAATGAAAAAAAAAAAAACTTTTTAAAATGTTAAAAGTAGTTTGATGCATAATTGAAGCATAACATTTATTTAAATGTTGACAGTTGACAGTATAGATGTTGTACTTGTTGCAATGAGGAAGTAAAACTTCTGGTAATCAGCCTAGCAGACACACTTAATTAAAAAATGCTGACAAATCATCTGATTAAGCACGCAGGCCAAGATATACATTTTTACTATATAGAGCAACACAATACAAGACTAATGATGTGATGTGCTGAGAACTCACCCTGAAATAAGATGCCACTGTCTGTCTCCTCATGTTAGTGGTTTCCTCTGGGTGACGCATCATTTCCATGGTGTCCACCTAAACACACACATAAACACACTTACTGTAGCTTAGTCTACATGCAGAAAATGTGCTCATCACCAATACACACATATGTACACACACATACATCTAAGCACACAGAAAATGAACACATTGTATTCTGTTTTAGCCTAAATGAACATGTAACCTTCCTGTTCATGTATGACAGAAGTTAACACAATTTTATCAACTAAATTACAAAAAAAAAAAAAAACCTACAGAGTTTTTGTTTTTTGTTTTGTTAAAACATAATTACAAAACAAGGACTATAGGTACAGTGTTAGTCAAGGACAACTTGAAATAATTTGCCCAATTGGTGGCTAATTTGTATAAATTTTGCATAAGTGTTTTTCATTTAAATAAATAGGATGGACCTTCATGCTTTTTTTTTCTTCTAAAAAAAATGCATGTTTCCATAGAAACTGCATCATACCAATTCATTTAAAACTGCCACTTCATAAAATAGTTTTTTATTTCTCATGAAATTGTGTCGGTTTCACGGTTACATCAATTATCACGTTAATAAAAACATAGCTTATGAGGTTAGTATTATGAAAATCTATAATCATGTTTGTTTGAAAGTCAGTAGGTGTGTGTGTGTGTGTGTGTGTGTGTGTGTGTGTGTGTGTGACGTATAGCCATGAATTTCGCATTGAATTTTATTTAACTGTTTATTTCTGTGAGGCTGTTTTGAAATCTGTATTGTAAAGCACTATACAAATAAATGTGACATGACTTGACAACATATTTTGGAACACTTTCCAATATGGTCCCATTAGTTAAAATTAGTTAATGCATTAACAAACAATATTTTCAATCTTTGTTAATGCTAGGTAATGAAATACAAATGTTTATTGTTAGTTTATGTAAATGTTTAAATTAAATGCTTTTTAAGTATGTTTTATTGTTTGTGCAAGTTAGCTGATGTAGTGACTAATGTTAATAAATGGAACTATTGTAATGGAACTGTTTTTGCATGAATCTACTACTATATAACAATATTAATAGGGAAGATGACAATGATCACTTCATATTTACACAAAACAAGCACTTTAAAACATCACAATCCAAGCAAAGATCCCTGAGCATGATGGGTTTAATACTGCAGGGACGTGTTTTCATAATGAACTTCAGGCTTCCAACTGTTCTTAACAAGGACAAGATATGATGTGTATAACAGCCATCGCTACAACAGACCTCATGAATTTATCAAGGTGATACATAATTTAGAGCAGGTCTATACCAGCAAAGTGTGTCTTCATATTCTATTTCATCTGCGTGTGGAGAGGCAAGTGTGTGTGATCTTTATGAGGAACTGAAGGGTTGGACATGCACCCTGACTGAGAGACAATCGAACTAACCCAGTGTTTTAATAAGACACCTGTCCCATTTCTGCTTACAAGCAGAACTCTGTAAATTGTCTCATCTGTGACTGAAGCAGTTTAAAAGTATCTGCAATATTAACTGGAACTAATTAATTGGGTTCTGTGCTCTGGTGTATAATTATATTTCTCTGATACAGCAGGTAGTCCGCAGGACTGTTTTAATCTTACACACAGAACAGAGGAAAGGGAGAAATAATTATCCAGGGTTCCCGTTCAGGAACTCGAGCTGCGTCGAAACGCTATGGGAATGCCTTCAGCGTGACCACGCTCTGAATCACATGTGTAATCAGTCCAATGGATGGGCGAGATGTCACGGGCGGGTGACATAGAGACCAGGAAGCTATAAAAGCATGTGCCGTGGAACCGGCGTCAGCGTTCTGTCATTCAGCAAGCGCTCTGTGTGTGTGCCAGTCGAAAATCTGTTGTGAGTCTTATTTAGTGTTGTTTGTCCCACTGATAAGCTCCAAAATGTCTCCCTGAAGGCTCCGGCATTGCCCTCCAAGCTGCTGCGTACCACGTCAGAACTGGTGGGCAAGGGGTACACGGCAGCGGGTCAGGCTGGTGTGTGTCTGCACACGATGGCCGTGTTACAGGCGTACCAAGCCGACTTGCTTAAAGAGCTGGATGAGGGCGAGGAGGTTAAGTCTAAGAATATCACCAAGCTCAGACGAACCACTGATCTGTCTCTCCGTGCCACCAAAGAGACCGCCCGCGCCATTGGTCGGTTTATGGCAGCACTGGTGGTGGCGGAGGCACCTAGCTCTGGGGGCTGCCGGGCGGGGGCAGCCTCATCCGTGTAGCAGCCCCTCATACCGGGAGGCTCAAAAAGAGAGCGTTGCCTCCCGTGCTCTCCCGCGTCAGGACCGGGAGTCGGGATCGGGGACTTCCAAGCCTAAGCCGGATCTGCGGACCGTCCTTCAGGCTAAGAAGTCCTCGACCAAGAAGTCCTGACGCTTGTGGCTCAGGACTTCTGAGGGCAGGCCCCTCTGGGGAAGAGAGGTGTACACCGAATTACACGGTGCCTATCTTTCCTCAGGAGATCATTCTGCCAACCCTGCTACTTCAGGGCGCAGCAATCTCCCGCGAGCACTTCTCTCAGTCACCGCCTGGAAACGTAGCGGTACTAAGAGGCTCGCTACCTCTATTGAGGTCTCTAGAGCAGTTAGTTCAGCTGTCCCCTCCCGGTTCGCCACATCAGGGCACCGAGCTAGCCGCTCTGATAACACCAGAGGTCAGTCTCGAGAGACTGAATCCCTTAGTAGACTATTTGGCAATGTGGAAACTACTACCAAATGTGTCTCGATGGGTCCTGCACACTGTAGAGAGAGGCTACAGAATCCAGTTTGGTTCTCTTCAACACTCTCTTGAGGAAGGAGGCTATCGAGGTGGTCCCTCCTCACAAAAGAGAGTCCGGGTTCTACAGCTGGTACTTCATTGTTCCGAAGAAGGATGGAGGGTTGCGTCCCATTTTAGATCTGCGTCAGTTGAACCACTCAGTCATGTGACTGAAGTTCAGGATGCTCACTATCAAGCAAGTCGTGTCTCAGATCAGGTCCGAGGACTGGTTTGTCACGATCGATCTAAAAGATGCATACTTCCACATCTCCATCCTTCCCCATCACAGGAAGTTCCTGAGGTTTGCTTCTGGGGGCAAAGCGTACCGATACCGGGTTCTTCCTTTTGGCCTTGCACTTTCACCCCACACTTTCACAAAGTGTGTGGATGCTGCTCTGGCTCTTCTGCGACTCCAGGGCATCCGCATACTGCATTATATCGACGATTGGTTGATATCAGCTCAATCGGAGCAGGTGGCGGTTCGGCATCGAGATGTCATTCTCACTCTCATGAAAGAGCTGGGGTTAAGACTAAATGGCAAGAAAAGCGTGCTTTCTCCATTACAGAGGACCACTTATCTGGGCGTGGTGTGGGATTCGACCACAATGCAGGCACGTTTGTCTCCTGCTCGGATCAAGTCAATCCTCACTGCAGTCACGAGAGTGAGAGAAGGCCGGTCACTCACTATCAAGCAGTTTCAGAGACTGTTGGGTCTGATGGCAGCTGCGTCCAACATGATATCTCTTGGCCTGCTGTACATGAGACTCCTACAGTGGTGGCTCAAGACCAAGGGGTGCTCCCCGAGGGGAAACCTGCTTTGCATGCTCAAGGTCATGCGGCGCTGCCTTCGTGCCTTAGACATGTGGAGGAAACCTTGGTTCTTGTCTCAGGGCCCAGTTGTTGGGTCTGATGGCAGCTGCGTCCAGCGTGATACCTTTTGGCCTGCTGTACATGAGACCCCTACAGTGGTGGCTCAAGACCAAGGGGTTCTCCCAGAGGGGAAACCCGCTCTGCATGCTCAAGGTCACGCGGCAATGCCTATGTGCCTTAGACATGAACCAAGGTTTCCTCCACTTGTCTCTGGGCCCGGTGCTGGGAGCTCCTTGTCGCCGCTTAACGCTAGCGACGGACGCGTCCCTCACCGGCTGGGGAGCGGTCATGAGTGGCCGCTTGGCAAGAGGTCTGTGGAGTGGTCACCTTCTCACATGGCACATCAACTGCCTGGAGATGCTGGCTGTGTTTCTAGCGTTGAAACACTTCCTCCCGGACCTAAGAGATCGCCATGTGTTGGTGCATACCGACAAAACAGCGGTGGCCGAGGCCGAGGCTTCGTCTGTACGCCTTTCCCACGATCTACACTCCTCGACGGCTCTCCATTTGAGATTCCTGTAAGGAGGGATCTCCTCTCACAGGCAGAAGGTACGATATTTCACCCCCGCCCGGAGCTGTGGAAGCTGTGGGTGTGGCCTCTGAGGGGGCACAACTTGTAGCTTCCGGTCTCTCAACCGAGGTTGTTGAGACCATCCTCCAATCCAGAGCTCCCTCTACGAAGAAACTGTACGCCTTGAAGTGGAAGCTTTTCACTTCTTGGTGCAGAGACCGCCGGCTCGACCCAGTTAACTGCCCAGTTGGTACAGTACTGGAGTTCCTGCAGGCCCACTTCTCCGCAGGGTTGACCCACTCCACCCTGAAGGTCTACGTGGTGGCCATTGCAGCCTACAACGCCCCTCTCGGTTGCCTTTCAGTGGGCAGACACCCCCTGGTTACACATTTCCTCTGTGGTGCGCTGAGGCTGAGGCTGAGGCCTCCGGTACGATCTTGCGTCCCCCCGTGGGACCTGGCTGTGGTGCTAGAAGCTCTCTGTAGGCCTCCCTTTGAGCCTATTGAGGAAATCTCCGATTGCCTTCTCAATATAAAGAATACCTTCCTTCAGGCAATATCTTCTCTCAAGAGAGTTGGGGATCTGCAGGCCCTCTCTATGGCCCCTTCTTACCTAGACTTTCTGCCCAGTCTGGCCAAAGCGTTTCTCTACCCTCGAGCGGGTTATGTCCCTTAGGTCACCTCCTCTGCACCACGGCCTGTCGTACTCCAGGTCTTCTGTCCTCCTCCCTTCCGGGAGCCCGATTAGCAGAAGCCCTGTGGAGAAGGGCGGACCAACTGTTGGTGTGCTATGGTCCCCCTAACGTCTTCCTGCTAGTAAACAGACCCTCAATCGGGGGATTGTGGATGCCATCTGCATGGCTTATGAGTCCTCTGATCTCCCCTCACCTCTGGGGGTCAAGGCTCATTCAACTAGGAGTGTGGCGGCCTCCAAGGCCTTTTTGGCAGGTGTTTCTATGCAGGACATCTGCAACGCTGTGGGTTGGTCCATGCCCCTAACGTTTGTCAGGTTCTATGGCCTAGATATGCGAGCTACTCCTGGCTCTTCTGTTCTCTCGCCTTAGCTGTGCTCTTCCACACTAAGCAGGGATTTTGTAAGTCTGGCAGCGTGGGCATACTCGTTCCCATAGCGTTTGACGCAGCTCGAGTTCCTGAAGGGGAACGTCTCCAGGTTACGCATGTAACCATGGTTCCCAGAGGGAACTAGACGCTGTCTACCTGTCATACTTCTGGCATCCCTGCGAGCACTTACTTCATTTCCCAGAAGCTGCCGCTGTATCCACCGCATGTGCTTTTTAGCTTCCTGGTCTCTACGTCACCCCGCCCGTGATGTCTCGCCCATCCATTGGACCCTGCGAGCGCTTGCTTCATTCCTCGAAGCTGATGCCGGTTCCACTGCACATGCTTGTATAGCTTCCTGGTCTCTACGTCACCCGCCCGTGACGTTTCACCCATCCATTGGACTGATTACACATGTGATTCAGAGCGTGGTCATGCTGAAGGCGTTCCCATAGTGTTTCGACGCAGCTTCTCGTTCCCTTCGGGGAACCATGGTTACATGCGTAACCTGGAGACGTTTTCCTCCATAAGAACAGTAACTCAGCAATGTAGTCAGGACACATTACCACAGCATGAAGCAAATCCAGCTTTATGACGTCCTCAATCTGTGCTAGATCTAAAGAAATGTAAACTTCACAAGGGGCTTCACTATTTTAAAGGGCTTTTATAGTAGAACAATGGAATTTCCTTGCACTTTTGAGACACTTTTCAAAAATATTTACAATGAAATAGCAAGTAAATAAATAATGAATGAATAATGAATGATCACTGTAAAAATATTTTTCCAGAAGTGGTAAACAAAACAGATTACTGGAGTACATTTCACAAGAAAATACGATTGCAGACTTTCTGCTTCAAATTTTCATGTTTATTTCAACATGTTACTTGCCGTTTCTTTGTAATTATTTGTAAAATTCACTAGAAATGTCTGAGTGAAAATTGTTTCAAATAAATTTTTTTCATTGTATTTTCTTGTAAAACATTGTTTTATTTAAAACTTTGAATTTTTCTTTTTTTTACTGTACATATACTATATTTCTATTGCTAGTCAGTGGCAGGTGGAATTGGGGGAGAGAAAATCTGTATTGAAAGTAGTGTTGTCAAAAGACCCGGTATTTCGGTACCAAGTCGGTACTAAAAAAATGAAAACGTTAC